CTCGGCCTCGGCCGGGACCGGCACCTCCCCGCCCGTGCCATCCCTGCCCGGGGGCGGACGGTGTGGGCGGCAGCCAAAACGCGATGATGATGACGACGACGATGGTGATGATGTTGGTAGAGGTATCGCGCCGCCGAACCGAAGGGGCTTCGCGGACTGTTTGCTCGTTTTGTTCCGGCGCCCCCCAGGCCGGCTGGAACTGGGCTGGTGTCGTTTGGGGGTCAGCGGGTTGTGGGATCCCAGCCAGAAGGTTGCGTGAGCAGAAGTGAACCGGCGTGGGGCCTCTTCGTGAGACGGACCCGGGATACGAATCGCGTGTGGTCAACCCGGCGTGAGGATTGAAAGCATGGGTGAAGTCAGCCGGTGTGGGTTCCTGGCCGAGAGGGACCCCGTGGATTTCCAGCTCACAGCTCACAGCCTGTGGGTGAGAAAGACGCGTGCGCGCTCATTTCGAAACGGTTTTGTGGTTTGTCCAAACCGCCGGCTGGGTGTTGAAATCCACCTCTGGTTGCAACCTGGACCTGCAAATGGGGCAGAAGCCTGACCTGGGGCGCCATCTGGATCCGGTGGGAACGCTGCTGGGCGTGTGAAGCCTCGGGGGCCACAAGCGCCCTCCTTACCTATCGCTCAGGTACCTGTCCGCCTGCGTCCCACCTGCACAGAGGACGTGCAGCCGTCGCGATACCATCCATGCCCCCCACCCTCCTTGCGGATGCCCCACACTCCCGCTGCTCCTGGGGAAAGCCCGCAGGGTGCCAACTGCTCTGATTTTGTGAAACGGAGCTTGGGGGCACCTTAGAGCTTGTGACCTGTTTGTCAGCAGCCGTTTTCACGGGCGACGTGCCAGCTCTCCTTGGAGGTCTGTGGTCTTATCGCAGGCTGGGATTGTATTTACACACCCATTCTTGAGTGAGTGGAAATTGTAAACAGTGAGGTCAGAGGGAGCAAAAATTCAGGAAATACGGCAGTGATAATTTCTTTACAGTATTAACAGTGGCCATTCAGAAGAGTTTGGAGCAGGGTTTCTTAACCTTGGCAACTTTAAGATGGGTGGACTTCAACTCCCAGAATTCCCCAACTTTAAGATGGCTGGACTTCTGGGAGTTGAAGTCCACCCATCTTAAAGTTGCTAAGATTGAGAAACCCTGGTTTGGAGTGAGAATAGATTGTGATGGCTATTTTTTTTAAAAATGCACGCAAACAGGCCAACCTTTGTCCTTGTCCACATCATGGGAGAAACAAATGGAAGCCTCCTGGATTTCTAGACAGACGGCAGTAAAATGAATC